TGGGCTGGTTACTACCCTCCATCACTTGTTGTAAAACATGAATTAATTCATGTTCTACATGCAAATGCAGACAATGGCTGAGTAAAGGAGAAAGAGACAAGGCAGCCGGAGGTTACCTATGGTGGTGTCGTGGTGGTGCTGCTGGTGGTGGAAGCACGGAGGCTGGCGGTGCTTCTCCTCCTTCTTCCTCTATTTTTTCATTCTTTTCTTTGTCTTTTTTTCCTTTTCTTCTCCTCTTTTATCTTATTTCTCTTCTCTTCTCTCTGCCCTCTCCCCTCTGTAGTGTTCTCTCTCTCTCTCTCGGTGTCTTTTCTCTTTCGGTCTCACCCATTATTTATAGAAAAACAGGGGAGAGAGAGGTAGGGGGTGACCAGTCTGCAACCGCCCCTCAACAGCCCGTCTAACACGTGGAAAGTGGTTGGTGTCTTTTTGGAAGGAGTCGATGTTCTTTTGAGGTTGATGGTGGTGACAAAGGAAGGAAGAAAAATCTTATTCTTCAACTGCTTTGCACGTCTAGGGGAAGAAGAAAACATACAGTGCCTTCAAAACGGTGCCGTTTTGGACAAAACATGCCGTTTTATTTAAAGCAAAAGATGACAACATGTGTTAAATTTCAAATTGGTCCTCAATTTGTAATTTGTTCAATCAAGTTCTAAATTGTAATTTTAATTTAAAAATCAATGTAATTGCATCCCTATTAAGAATCAAATAGCAGCCTTGAAGTTGACCACCTTTTTCACTTTGGTCCTTGGTCTTAAAATTATGCAATTTGACCCTCAATTAAGCAATAAACTTTTAATTTCCTCAATTGGGCCCCTGATCCTATTTTAATGGCAGCCCTTCTATTCATCAACCTTTTCATTTTGGTCCTTGGTTTCGGATTTCTTTAATTAAGTCCTTAATTGGTCATCAAACTTCAATATTTATGCAATTCAACCCCCGATTTGAACAAATTAACTCTTAAAAATTATAATTTGATATTAGAACTTTAATTTCTTCTAATTACAACCTAAATTGACTCAAAATAAATTTTTCTTACAATCAAACTCTCCATAAATTCAATTAAACTTTTAATAAAATTTAATTGAGTCCATAAACATTTAATTTTGAACTTTTCTTCCTCAAATTAAATTTTCTTTGTCAATAAGACTCTCATCAGTCAATAAAATACTGTCAAATTTTAATTTTTGTATTTTTGAACTTCCTCAACCAATTTTTGATAATTTTTAAGGCGCTCTAACATCCTTTTTTCATTGTTTATATTTTTTGATAATATTTTTTATATTTTAGTATTTTTTTAAAGAGAGAAAAAATATGAATTGGAGAATAATCCAAAAATAGGTTATGATAAGTTACCTAAACACTTAAGATTCAATTTATTTGAACTTGCATTGTCTAATGCAATAGTTAAAATCTTATCAATTCCTCATTTTAACAAATAACTCTGAATTATTTAACCAATTGTTTCATCTTTATAATTAAAAAATCGACAAAAATTTAGAATTTTTTTATTCAAGTTCCAACCAATATTAATTTATTGGGCAGTCACAATATAGTTAATATTTTAGATTGATATCCAGGTATCAGTTATTAAACATATTTGTTAACCATTTATATAAATTTTCAAACAATCTCTTCAAATCATCAAACAAGAACTATTAAATTTAGGTTGCATTACCTAACAAAATGATTTAAACCCTTGATTCTCAATAAAATTAAAAGACAGTCCTTAAAGTATAATTATTTTTTATAGGATTTTCTTTAATTACAATCCAAATTAAAAGAAAATAAAAAAATAAAATGCAAGATTAATCTAGTTTGATGGATTGGGTCTTCAATCATAAAAGAAAACGAGGGAAAAAGGGAGGCAATGGGAGATGGGTGATATGGATGTTAGGAGGTGTGACTGCTATCAAAAAAGAACTAATTATAAGTGATAAATTTAAAGTATTTAATTTGTAGTATCAAGTTGGGAGAATGTGAGGGAGAGATGGCAAATGAGGTAATATATTGATCTCTCAAGTTTCAAAAGGGGAGGGAATGAGGGAGATAAATGGCAGAGAGGGCCGAGGAGAGAATCTAGCTACTGTTAATGGGAAAAAGAGGAAATGTTATAGGGTTAGGTTAGTTTCAATTTATACCTGTTTTTAAGTTGATTTACATTTAGTCTGATCTAGTTTGATTTATATGGTTTTAGTTTCTAAAATCAAAATTAAATTAGACTAAGTGATTTTTCTAGTTTTTTATTTTTTTTAAGTTTTTTTTCTCTCAATTCAGTGTTTTCAATTTGTTTTTATGGTTTTTGTGGTTTTTTAGGTTAGTCGGTTTTTTTAAATACTCTTAATAAAAACAATAATCAAATCATTTTATTTGTAATTTTTGTTTTTTTCCCTTCTTTCTTGAACAGTTGTGAATTGTCCTTTCTTTTATTTATTGCAAAAAATTTAAATCTTCTAAGAAAATGACTATGCACCTAGCCTCAAAATACTATTTATTATAATATTATAATGATGGATTTGTCCTGTAGCTATAAAACCATAATTCAATTATTATTTTTAAATTTTTTAGGGGTGTGATGATTTTGTTTTTACCTTTTTTGGCTCAATAAAATAACTTAGTTACCCCTAAAATAAAAATAAAAAACAAAATTGATATCTAATGGCTTTTTAGCGTTTCAAATTTTTTTAGTTTAGAAAAATTATTTAATTACTTTTTATGAAAAAATCTACTAAATTATCTTTTAGAGACTTTTTTCTTCTTTTTACCATGATTTTTTTGTTAGTATTAAGTTAATTCAGAGATAGTTTTATAATTGACTAAATATTAAATATTATAAAAAATATGTTTATGTGTGCAGCACACACTAGTAAGTAAGTGGCCTTATGTCTTTTAGGCATTGCATGCAGGAGCCTTCTAGTTACTGAATGTCACCTTTAATAGTTGTGTTTGAATCATATTGGCATCTCCTCCATAACGATGCAGTCTACATGGCTAATGAACCTCTGATTTGACATTAATAATTTTTTCTTTTCTTATCTTTTCTCTCTTTTTTTTCTCTTTTTTGATTTTTGTTCCTTTTAAAACTTCAAAGTTGACCTTCAGTTTGTTATTCCTTCAAATTTGATTTTTATTTTTTTTATTACTATTTTTTTATTTGGAATAATTTATAAAATTAAAATTCTTTTTCAATTCAATTATTTTTTTAATTATTTTTATCTTTCAAATGTGATTCTCGTTCTTTTAATTATTATTTATTTTATTTGAAATAATTTTTTAAATTAATTTATTTTACAATTTCATCCTCCTTAAGTTTTTTTTTCCTATCAAATTTTATCCTCGTTTTTTTTATTGCTATTTTGTTCACTTTCAAATTTTTTTAGACTAATTTTTTTATTTTATCATTCAACATCAAATTGGTTGAGAATTAAGCTTTTTAATTGAGCCCAAATATAAAATTTCACGAATTACGAGTTTTAGATATTAACCTTGGTTTAAGAGATTCACCTAGGTTTAGTTCATGTTTTTATTTTTATTTTTCGAAACTCATATTTTTTCAGTTTTATCATTAAACTTTTATTTAATTGAAAATTTAGCTATGTTAGTTTTACTCTTTTTTTCCCTTTCTATATAACTTTTCTTTAATTTAAGAAATGACCTAGCTCAACTCGGTTTTTTTTATTTGTCGTACTTTATTAAATTTAATTTTAAATTGATTTTCTTTACTTCATCCTTCAATATTAGATTGGTTAAAAAAAAAATTCAGTTCCATCCTTCAAAGTTGAATTTTTTTTATATTAAGATTCATAATTTGTTTTAATTTCTTTGATATTCTTTTATCATTATCTCATCATTTAGATCATAAGTTTGGAGAATTAGTTTAGATTAGCTTGAATTTTTTTTTAGGATTATTTTTTTAATTTTTATTATTGTTACATTCTATTCTTTAGCATTGGGTTGTTTTAGAAGTGAGCATTGTAATCTTTTCTGGTCTATCTTTTATTGAGTTATCTCATTCGTATGATTTAGGTTATAGAGCTTGGTTGGCTTGCTCGATTTACTATTCTTTTTTATTGATTTTTTTTATCAATTTTATCCCTTCGTGTATGATTTATTTAGAATTATAATTTTTTTTATTTGTTTTTTGTTAATTTATTCGGATCTCATTGCCTAACTTGTATATTTGGCATATTCATTAAGGTTGGCCAAGATCAGTTTCTTTTTTTAATTTTTTTTATTTATTTGGTTGAGATCAGTTTTCAATTTTTTTTATTTGTCTAGTTGGAATCCTAACTTCATCACCTTTTTTTACTATGGTGATCTTTTTTTTTTAACAAATCCTAATGATTCCTTTTTTTAAGTGGTACATTAGCTGTATTTATCTTTTTATTATTATTATTATTAACTTATTAGATTATACCTTCTTATTTTTTTGCTCAATCAGAGGCAGGTTTTTTTTTGTCAAAACACTCTTGCATTGTACAAGCATTTTTTTTGTGTAACCAATAAAAAAAAATATTCTTACCCATGACACAACGTCAACCCACAAATCTAGTTATTCACTGTTAAAGGAATCTATTTGTTTTTTTTCTACATGCAAGTATTATCGTAAAGCGATATTTCCTGATTCTAAACTACGGAATTTAGAGAACAAAACAGATGTCATATCCAAAATCATGGGGAAAAACAGAAAAAAAAAAACATGTAAAACGAAAAACAAATGTGAGGAAAAATTAAAAAAAAAAAGAAGAAGAAGAAGAAAACAAGGAGAAAAAAAAGCATGTAAAACAAAAAAAAAAGAAAAAAAAACAAAACAAAACGAAAATATGGAAAAGCTACGTCTCGTAAAATAAGAAGAAAAAAAAATGAAACTCGAAAGAGAAGGCATGACTGAAAAGTGTTATTCATCCGATGAAACATAGCCATAATCCACGATTCTGACGAGGTATCCACTATGACAATCGAAAACAATATTGAAATTGATTTTTGTAGAAACCATAACATATTACAAAAAATGTTGACGAAACTTTAAAGTCCATGATATATTACAAAAAATGAATGTGCATGCTCTTTTGTACATGTTGCTCCCTCTTATTTCAAAACTTTTTATTGTCAGGAGTTAACAAACAAGCTATGGCCTCTTACAAGCTAGAAGTAAAACTATCGAAACATGAGAGGGGGAAACATAAACTAAGGAATAAGTCGACAGAAGTGAAATATATGGTCATTCCATATAATAATTTCAATCGATGTGGCTTCTATTGAAATGGAAGGGGAGATTAAGATTTCTATTTACTGGTCAAGAGGCATCCACTCCAGTTCTACTTGTAGTTCCCCAGATTCAACATTCTGGAGTTTCAATGAGATCTCCTGTTTCACCTTCCCGTCAACAATGTTTATGATGCTATCATCTATGAGGGCGTTGTCGTTTGATTTCAGCCATTTTCCAATCTGCATATTTCCAAACATTTCTGGATCCCCAAATGCCATTGCTGATGTGATCAATGGCTGGATGTCAATCTCTGCTTCCCCCATTATGTCATCAGCAGAAAATGTATCATGATCAAAAACGCTCTGAAATGCATAACAAACAAAAGGTAAGGCAAATAGTTGCCATGAGCAAATTAGAATAACCAAGAACTTGTTCATTGACGGATAAAGGTGAAAGGATTCATTTAATGAGATGTTGCAAATTAGTTTTAGTAATAGCAAATTTATAGCAAAAAAAAAAAAAACAAAAGCATTTGCTTGATTACTCAAGATAACTATGGAAGTAGTTGTGGCTTATAACGACAACACAAGTATTATATCCCCCATAGTTTTAAAACCCAAACTGACCCAGCAGGGTGGCTCAAAGCCAACGTCCTTTGTTATCTATCCATATACTATTTCACTTCAATACAACAGCACAACCACTATTGGACTATACAACAGCCTTAGTTGCTACGTTTGTTTTTAATCCTAATCACTAATTTCTGCCCCTTAACTAAATTTTTTTACAACTTGAGTTGACTGTCCTAACCTTTCTGGACTTAAACCAGGTTAACTCTTGGATTGGGTTTTAAAATGATGTTATATTCAATAACTTGCTTATGCATTCAAAATGAATACACGAACGCAACCCTTACAAATACTACAGATGGGGGGTCAAATAGACCACAATGGGTTAAAAAGTAAAATAACTAGGAAAATAGTGGATTTCCATCTCCAAGTTAAAAAAAAACCCAACAGCTAAAGAGCTTTACTCTTGTAGCTTTGGATCCATAACTGGATGGATAGAAAATTCGAATGCAACATCATAAAAATTATTAACAAACTTACCAACTTTATGGGCCCAAAATCCTGTGGAACAGATAGCATGAGTTCTTCATTCCAGACTGGATTCAAGTTGCTCTTCATCACGGTGGGTTGAGCAGTCTATTAACACAAATCACATTTTATCATTAGTGGCTAGCATCAAAATCAAAGCAGCCCCTTCACTTTCTTAATTATAATGTAATATTCTACCAATCAAAATTGATCCTTCAGAATGAAGATGATACAAAACATTTATTTGTCGCTTCAATTAAAAAAAAAAAAACTATGAAACTGCAGTCAAGATTTTACAAAGGTCTACGGGTTGGCCAACAAATTGAATGGTATATTGGTATCAACAATTTATCAAATGGTTGTGATTAATGTTATCCTTGGTAAAAATAGACAAAAAAGAATCTCTACTCGGCATGGCACCAAAGATCTGCACCTGATTTTACAAATAGAAATTATTATATGAACTTGTCTCAATGAAGAATTTGGAGAAATAAAAGTGGAAAATAATAAAAATAAAGATACAAATTTCACTAACCTGTTTCCCAAGAGCAACGATCACATAGGGATCACTTGACATCATATCTCTAATAGCTAAATTTGTACCTTTTATAACTTTAACCTTCAATATTCCCATAAACTCTACTATGCCATCCTGTAACAATTTCTCAATGTTATCCAAGTATGAAAGAGAGTATGGAAACAAAAAAGGTATGCCAAAAATTTACCAAATTCTGGGAGACGCTGGGAATTTGAAAACTATCAAAAAGGTTTGTGGATAAACTTGACTTGAGAGAAGATGAGGAAGTCTTCCCCGATGTGATCCGCAAACTAGGTTTCAAAAATTCTTGAAGCTCATACTTTGACCTGTGAGTAACAGAATAAGATATGTAAACACTATTAACATCCAATCTACAAACATCAGTAACTTTCTAGTGATAACACCATGCTTGATCTAATCTGCAATAAAAGTGACTTAATCTTTCCATATAAGTTTTATACTAGGATGAAAAAAGAAAATTAAAAAAAAAAATGACAGGTTAACAGGGTGAGTGTTTTAAGGCAAATCATTTCTAACCTGATGAACCTCGTACGCTCCTCATTACTGCAATTTGGCCCTGGCTTTGAAACTCCTTCAGGTAAAAAGGCCTCATAAATTGAATTAGCAGACAAGTTTCCTCCAACTTCGATCATGGCATCGATTTCATCATCAGACCATTCATCCAACGTCACAGATAAAACCTGAACAATCCAAATTAATAATGTTCTAAACAAAAGAATCACCTGTTTGAACATGGTAAGATCAGGTATAAGCAAACATACAAACATCAATTGGAATTCATACCTTAAAAAGCAGGTACATACTTACATGAATGTTTTGTGTGGAAAAAAAAAGACACATAAAAAGTCAAATCTTATTTCATTTTGTACACTCAAAATGTGACTAACAATAACAAAATGATAAAAGAAACTTAAAAGGTCATATATTTACACGACAACTAATTCTTAAGCTTTTGTGACTAATTCAGATTAAAGCAAGTGGTTGCTGTTAGAGCCAAGGAAACAAAGAAGTCCAACATATAAAATGAGAGACTAATTAAATACAATAAAGAATATAATTAGGGATCTTATTTTTTCTTCTAGATCAAAACATGCTCCTGGAATCAAACAGGGACCATATTCTGGATAATTCAACCATTCATTTTGTGATCCTATAATCCAATTGATCTTTCTATTTTCCTTGGAAAATAACTTAAAATTATAAATCACCAAATGATTGCAATTATGCAAGCCACATGTACTTATTGCAAAAAAACCCATACATGTCATATTTGTTGCATCTTATGATATTTACAAATCACATTAATAAAACATGATAATAATTAAATCCATGGTTCTCTATTAATTTTTTTCTTGTTTATTCTTTATGATCTTTAAGTTGTTTTACGAAGAATAAAATCCTCAATCCCATTCCATCAGGAGTGGGTCTTAAGTGGAGCAAGGGATCATTCACCTAGGTTTAGTTTACTTGTAAACAAATTTCTCAAATTGTGAGACGAATGCAACAAAATAGTGTTCTTATAAACTTTTGACGAGGAATGGAGAAAGGCTACAATGGGATTAGTATTTGATTGTTATGAAATTTTGATTTTCTATGATTATTCTAGTATTTTAGTACAATTTAGTAGGTCTTCCAGTCCTTATCAGGACTTTGACCATCAAATATTGGTTTCACTTTTATTATTTGTTTTGATGTCTATATATAAGCAACCTAGCTAGGCATTCAAGTTCCGTATGGTGCTTTGATTCTTCAACAAATTGATTTTCTTGGGAAATTGATTCGTGCTATTTTTTGTTTTCCTTGGTTCTACAATAATTCCAACCTACCCTCATATCTAATATCTAACAAATTATGGTAATCTAAGAAGGGGATCAGTTGTAATTTTTCCTTTCCTCGAAGATAGGAGCATTCTCTCTTTCCCATTTATGTGAGATCTATCCTTTCAGTTTCCAAGTTTGATTTTCTTTGTTCTTCACTTACAGTCACTAAATTTTAAATAGTTCTTTGTACTTTTTGTTATTCATAATTATCTTTTACTTCCTCTGTTTTGGATTTTTTATCTCTACTTGTTTCACATTGTTTTCTTCATTATCCTCAGTTTATCTTCACTTCTATATCATTGTTTCCAATTCTAGATTGTAATCTAGGATTATAAATTATACCAAGTCATGGAGGTTGATGTCAATATCATGTTCTCGATCAATGAGATGAATCAGATACAGCATATAAAGATGGGATGTTGAGTGCATCATGTGTATTATCATGAGTTAACTTCTCCTATACTGAGCCATAGTATGCTCTATGGTATGTTGAATTATAATCTAATGAAATTTCTAACCATTTTCTCAAAAAAATTAAAAGGTTCTTTGCTTGATATATTCAATCAAGTGCCCAATAGAACAGCCCTACAAGAAGGTCGAGGATAAAAGGATTATAAAGTTTCATTTCAAAACTGAAGCATGTTCTCGTGTCTATTACCAAATGCAAGTAAATATTGTCACTCAAATTGCAACGCCTAAACAATTGGACTATACTTCCCTACAACAATTGTTTCCTATCATTGAGAAAACAAAATTAGAAGCAATATGGAATAGTTACCTTCGAGATATGTGTACCAAGACTTCTGTGTACACCACAGCATTTTAAGCATATGAAAACCCCAATATTTGCTGATCTGGAGGAAAGAGAGTTACCAGATTTCTTAAAAGCACGGGGTCAAAAAATAAAATAACCAACCTAAACAATGACTTCAATTTAAACATATGCACAAAATATAACTTTTCAGATTGCTAATAAGAAGTGTGCATTTAAGCTCATGCATATTCACAGCCACAAGGCTAATACATTATTCAACTTACGCCCATTTTGGATCTGGAGCACCACAATCAGCGCAAAAGCGATTATCACTTTGGAGCAATAGATCTTTTAATCTTCTTTTACCTTTGCAGAAAAAACAACAAAATGTAGTGATTAAATGTATAGAATAGATAAGAAGATCTTTATAAAACAATCAAATAAATTGATCTGAAAATGGGAAAGGTGGGAAGAATAGATGGAATGGGAGGTATTACAGTCATTAAAAAATGATAAAAGGTTGGCTACTTATTTGCAGAAGATACAACAAAAGGCATCAAATCATACATACTTATTGATCCAGCCAAAAGCAAAGTGTCCAAGTTTCAACAGAAAACAAAGAAAATACATGATTGATCCAGCCAATAATTGATTTATCTTATTTCATTAATAAAAGTAGGGAGAATGGTGAAAACAATAAAGGAATAGAAGCATTGTGAACAATGTGGGAGTGCTTCCATTCCTCCTCTAATCATTCCTCGCATCTAACAACAGTTTGGTGTTCCTTTCACATCATACACTAAAGATTTTCACCCAGTAGCATGATTGCACATTTGTTACAAGCTAAAGAAACACCAACATGATTTTCATTCTATGAAGCAATGTAGTTTGTAGAATAAATGCAACTTGGTCAGTCTCAATAAAAATGAATGTCAAGTAGAGATACCCATGAGAAATCTACACGGTAGATTTCAGGTAACCAATAGATAGGGCAGTCCAATATTTTTCAAGCAATCATCAAGTTTCTTCAACATAGCAAAATGATGAAACTCTTAATCATCAGTTACTATACAAGTTTCTAGAAAGGGATTACAAGAAAGAAAATCCATCATAGTACTTCAGTTCTGCTATCTTACCAAAATAAAGCCAATAATCCATATCATGTCTAAACATCACAAGTCAAACTGATTTGCATTAGGAGTGAATAAATTTCTAAATTTCAGATTCAAAAGCAAAAATTTTCTGTATCCATGGTCAGACTACATTCTTAAAGTTGAGCATTTTACAATTAAGCAGTGTTGCTTCATATAATGATACTCAAAACAACACCAACTAATATAGAGTTCATGGTATGATTGGTCACTTTGAGATCCATCGATTTTCCACAAAGAATTATTTAAGTTCCCTATGTCTGAGAAAGTTCCTTTTTTCCTTGTAAAGAATCTAAATCAACAAGGAATAACGGAACAATCCACTTTCACATGATGATAAACCTCTATGCAAAAGCTTAGCATGGGAAAAATCCCTAAATTTGTTGCTTCCATCTTCTTCATAAACAATTCAGGGCTGCTGCAGAAACCTTTAACATTAAAAAACATTCAAATTACATAGTAAACCTGTTGGCTATTCTTATGCTTTATTGCTACTTCACCAGCATACCTGAGGCAACCTGCTGAAGCTCTGACAAACGGCTCATTGCTTTGCTAATAACAAAAAATCATTCAACAAAATCCTGTCTCCACCAAGTTATCTGCACAAAATGACCAAAAAGAGAGGAACCCCAAAAAGAAAGGAACCCAGTTCAGCAACAATAATAGAAAACTAAAATATTTGGTTAAAAAAATACAAATTCCTTTTACCTTTTCCCAATTTTTAGAAAACATAATGTCATCCCAGGATTTGTGCTTGGCAACTGGCAAAAGCAACTGCAGAGCCAAGGCATAGAGAAGAGGAGGAAAATAAAAAACTAAAGTAGATGCTGTCCAAACCAGAACTATTAACCCACCACAAATACCATATAATAAAATACAAAGATGGTCAAGGTGTCCAACTAGATAATTACAGCCAATTTTCCAAAGACCCCTCGTGACACAACAAGTGTCCAAAACAAATAGATAATAGAGACACACCTAGCAGCCTTGACAACTATAAAATTAGAGCAGCTTTTCTGGTAGAAGTAGAAAAGGGGGAGAAGAAAATCAGTTGGGTGATCTTCCACAAAGAGGTCCTATGGTGTGGCTGGTGCACCACTGAAAAGAAAATAAGCAAGTTTAGGTTCTTGGTGCAGACGGATGCCATGGACAAAGAGGAACGAGATACTTGTATCGTTTGTGGAGGCTCCTTTGCAAAGGTCCCATGACACCTATGAATAAAACAAATGCAAGGCTTGACATTACAGAACCTAGTTATCGCAACTCAAAACACAGAGTAGCAAGGGGGGTCAAAAAAATTCAAAGCTCTTGGGTAAAACTCAGTTAGTAGGTTCATCTGTTTTGACTGAATTTGTGAGCATCATACTTTAGCCGTTTGAAGACCAACTAATTATCCAGTGAACTAGTTATCCAATGAACTGTAAGCAGAGTGGTTTTGACCTCCATGATGAAGCATGTAGAATGCCCACTAGCAGTGCTACAAGCCCACGAACCTGAGCAGGCATCAACATGTATTATGCCAAAGCAGCTTCAGCTACTCACAAAATGCAAGGCCACTAACACTTTCTAATGCTGTATCTCCACCAATCACTACCTCTTAGGTAGTGTCACTAGTCACCTGTTATATCCTCACAAAATGAAAAGCGATGTCTAGCACTGTTTTCCGAGCTCTGTGCTAGCATTGTTATTTGCTTGAATTATCTAAAGATTCAATAACAAAGAAATGATAAAAGTTTAAGCTTTACATTGAATCGGATAAATAGCCTGTTTATGGCCAGTAATTCAATACCATAAATATCAATATTTAAGCTATCAAATCTACTCGTCATTGAAAATAGAATAGTATAATCCAAAAACTGATTCCTGACACAATCCTCAAATTTCTTATTTCACCTTGTATTCATCATTAAATCCAATCTGAACTATAAAACTGTAGACCTCTATGTAGATGATCATCCAGGAGGAGGACAATGCAGAAAATCTATGAAATGCCAAACATCAGCAACAAAACGCCCTGACTAGCCACGTGATCTGCCTTGCCTTATTAGTATGCTACTGTTAAGCAACCTTCTGTTAAACACCCCCACCCCCCCCCCCCCCCCCCAAATTAAAGTTGACATGATCGGCCCCACAAAAAAAATGAAAAAACAAGATAGAATTCTAAAACCAAACCATCACATAGAAACCACCGATCCTAATGTCTCAAAAACAAAAATTACAAATAATAATAACAGCATGACAGGCCCAATGAACACTTCAAAAAATTCAAAAAAGAATCATAATAACACCAAACATAAAAGTAGCTCAACGATCTGTTTGGATGCTGAGAAAACTCAGGAAAATAGGAAAAAGAAAAATATAAGAGTGATGGAGATGGTGGTTTGCGAGATTCCACGATTTACTAGAGAAACAAACAGATGGTAAGCATAAGAAGAAGAAGAAGAAGAAGGTGGTCTAACCTTGCGAAAAGGATGGATAACACCGTAGAGAACGTTTATGACTCGGAAAATCTGTGCAACTGCTCCTTGTACAGAACGTTTTTCTTTTTTCATTCAAGTTTTAAGTAAAACTGGAATTGGAAATTAGAGCCAGAGAGAGAATTGGAATGATCTATATACAAATATATTGAATGACAGAAATCTGAAATTTGAATCAATTATTAATATTAATATATCTAAAATTTAAAAAAAATTATTATCGATTGATATCTTATTTAGTTAAAATTGGTCATTCTAGAATGAAAAAAAAAAATTATTTTTCTTTTAACATTGAAAATACATCTTACATATAAGTTTGTAATTCTTGATATTAAAACTAACAAAATAATTGTTTTTGGTATTTTTAAAATTTAGACCAAGTTCTTATGACTTTGATAAATTGATTATTAAATCCAAATATTAAATACGTGAGGGTACAAAAAAATAAAAAATTCAAAATTAATTACAAAATAATTTTTTTTAAAATTAAATTTTTATTAAAAACTGGATGAAGACCATGTTTATTAAGACACAAATAAAATGTTTTTATCAATACTATTTTAACCACGACATCAATTATAAAAAAAAATTATCATTCATCAACTCAAAATAAAAAAACACCAATCATCCACACAAATTTTATTACTTTCACTTACTTTATTCAAATTTCATTTCAGTCCAAATAAATTCAAACATAACTCTTGCACTAACATTATGTTCAAAAATGCAATATCAATCCAAAAAATAATTTCACAATTCAACATAAATAAACCAAACAATTTCAAACTGAAAAAAACATTAAATCAAATTAATAATGTCCAAACAATCCAAATATTATACAAAATAAGAAAAATTTTGTTCTAAATTTTCACAATTTTATAGCAATTTTTTCAAAAAATATTTGCGACCTTTTAAGGTGTTTAAAATGCTCAAGATATACCTAAATCAATTGAAATTTCATATCATAGAATTTAATATAAGATCTATATTGAATATTTTATATTTACACCTTAATATAGAGATTAAGAAAAAAGGGGAGTAAATCTCTAACATGAGATAAATCCTTATAAATATGATTTTGTTAATGTATATATCTTATAGCCAATCGATTAGTTATATAAGACATTAATTTTATTTATGTAAAAAATATTTAATTTTTAATAAAAGCTTATTCATCTTCAATATTCATGAAATATTTTATTAATAAATTTGGAGTGAAGATCTTGAGATAAAAATATTTTTCAAATTTTTTTTAAGGTTATTATAATTATGAGATTTATATTGTATCAAAGTGTTATTCTTAAATATTTATAGTTAATGCTCTATTAATATTGAATTTTAATTTGAGTTATTGATACCGACACATTATATTATTTCTTTTATGAAAAGAATCAATTATTTTTATAAGTTAATATAGAAAGAATAATTAAAACTCATATGTAAGTATTTATTAGATGGTATGTTTATTGAACTGATTAAAATAAAAATTACATATAGAGAGATCACTTGTATCTATAAAAAGACTCGTATGATTGTTATGTAAAAAATCTTTAGGCATGATAGTTATCTTATATAGAGAATATTATACCGATCTTGCTACATATTATTTAAATCAAGAATAATAAATAAGTAAATATTAAAAATAACATAAATCATATAAAAGTATTTAAGCAATAAAAAAAATATCATCTTAATTTAATTTTTTTTTTTAAAAAAAAACTGAATTTTGTCCCCACCACCCGCACTCCCAACTAGGGATTTACCTTCTGATTCTACCGCTTGCTCGGATTGAACAGTAGGAGGTGGAAGTAGGGAGTGGGTTACATCAAGCAACCAGACGGGGTGAACTCTACTCCACCTTCCATCCGTAATTATCCCTTTTCCTTCCCTTTCCAGAAACAATAAGCATGAATGTCACCATCTCCCACCTTACCTCCCAATAATTTCAAAAGCAGAAAACAGAGAAACGATAGAAGGGAAGCTAAGTGTTTGTTGGGCTTAGGTACTAGATGGATTTGAGTGATGGCTTTGATGCACACAAACATTTATAAACTTAAAAGCTTCTTTGTTTCTATATTTTAACAGTATTTTTTTTATTATTTTAAATTAATTTTTTATAAAACAATCACTATCATGAGCACATTCTCAGACATCCACGTAATCTTACAATTCAAGTAAACATGAAGCTCTTTCATCCATTAATTATCCCAAAAATACAAAAAGAGGAACGCATTTCTCTATAACCCAAGTTAGTACTTTAGGTTTCATAGCGTATTCTTCAAAGCGAAGGGGGCATTTTTTTGGGCAAGGAAGGGAGGTCAATGGTAAAACAAAAGTAAAATGCTTGAAAAAGGGAAGCCTTGGAGCCCATATGGGCCGGAACACCAGAGAGTCCTTGGATTCCAAACCAGGCCAGTGCCTCTCTATAATCGTTATGAGTTTATGACAGATGCTGCCCTTTCAGCCACTACAAGCGACAGACTTCACCTCCACGGTTGATACTAGACACAGCAAAAGACAACTTGCATTGGAGGAAACAAGAATCATTTATCAATACCAAACAAAAGGTTTCTAATTTGTTTTAATCCATTTGATTATTTAACAGCACAGATGAATGGTTTCAGCTAATCAAGTTCATGTGATGCTGACCAACAACAGAAAAATGCCACATTACCTAACAGGACCACACTGCTGCTGCTGTCTCGGGGCTCGTAAAGATGCAATATCAGTACACTTCAACATGCCATTGTTTTTTCTTTTTAAGCTGTGAGAGCTTTTCATCCCACTTCTCTCCTCTCTGTTCCGCTACTTTCTTCAGCGTATCTTGGATCCCAGGCATCATTCCTTTGAGTCCACAGAAATAGATGTGCGCTCCATCATCCAAGAGTTTGAAGATTTCATCACTGTATTCCTCAATCTTATCCTGCACGTACATCTTGCCTCCACTCTTGTTCTTTTGTTCTCTACTGAGCGCCTTGTCATACCGGAAATGGTCTGGGTAATCCTGAAGATATTTGGCAAATTCCTCATCATAGAGGAGACTGTCAGTGTTGGCCACCCCAAGGAAAAGCCACGCAAGACCACCAAACTTGTATGTTGGGACAGCCTCCATAAACATTCGCCGGAGATAACCTCTAAACGGAGCTACGCCAGTGCCAGTAGCAATCATTATGTGGGTGGCATTTGGGTCATCCTCAGGTAAAAGCATTATCTTGCCAGAAGGTCCTGCCAAAGATATTCTAGGACAGTTAATGGCTAATAAATCATCACGTGACGCAAATTATATCTACTAGCCCATTCCAAGAAGCACCCGAGACAATCCTAACAACACTTCATGTGTTTTACCAGCAATTTGGAGACTAAGTTATTGTTTGGCATGAGTTATAGATTGCTCAAAGTCATGAAAAAAAAATTACTTTAAGCCAAATGCTTTTAAATTGAATGGTATATTTGATAACAGTGTCATAATAATAGTTTAAAACAAGACTTTGATTTAAATCTAAAAGTAGCTCATGTATCAATCAACCTTGAGTAAAAAGTCAACAATCAAAAGGTTATTTTTCTTTTTTGCTTAAAATAATATTTTAACTTAAAATCTAAAAATAATTTAGGAATTTCAGTTAAAATGATTATGATTTTGCTTTAGTCAAGTCAAAAAACAACTTGAATAGTTTGTTGTCTAATAACAATATATCAATAATTAAGCATCAAAACACGAAACCAGAGCATCCTTGGTTAGCTAGAACTAAGGAAATAAACAATAAATAAATGATACAGCAAAAAAGTAACAAGTTTCTCAGTCTTTCCACCAAATTAGCAAGGCCATACCAGTGATCTGAACTTTGTCTCCAGGCTTTGAGTTGCAGAGGAAATTGCTGCACACACCACTCTTCGAAGGATCCTCCTTTCCAGTCTCAGGGTCATAATAGACAGCACGGCGGACGCATAAACTAGCAGTCTTGCCGTCAAAAGAATCTCCATACCTGGTAGATGCTATTGAATATAGACGTACATTGTGGGGGGCCCCTGGTTTCTTCGGGTTTTCACCCTATGATGCAAAGAGACAAATTACATTAGTTAAATAGAAGCATTATTATCAAAGTATTATAAAAAAGATGAACAAAATGTTGACTTTAATGCAAAATCTAGAGTCCCACTCCTCAATTAGACTGGATTGAGTAGATCAGGATCTGCTAGATTTCAACTATATCATCTTGGAACTAAAGGCTAACAGCATGCTCAGACTAAAATGACTGGGATCACAATGCTTACTAGAACAGCATGTGCATGCTCTAGCACTTCAATGCAATCTTCAACATGCCCAATCCCCACCCAAAACCATCACCACCACCAAAAAGACAGGCAGAAGTCACCAATTTAATGCAAACTATATACATAATGATAGCAGGCCTAGTTGCTTGATAAATAACATGACTTACAGGGGGTATTACGCCATAACTCTGTCCTTCCCAGTAGGGAACATTACCACCATGATCAATCACTACATGGCAAGTCTCTCCAGGAGCGTTTGGGCCGACAAGCCTCTCTACAGAGACAATTGTTGCTGTGTAAGGTTCCTTGGGCTTGTATGTATTCAATGGAGGTTCCTTGGCATCTTCAAGTCCTAAAGGTGAAACTGCAACCTTGGATCTACTGGCTTGTTGCACAGACATGCATACCAACAATCGTTTTTTCAACCCAGCATTCCTTGATTTCAAATCCAAAGATGAGGCAGGGTGCCATGATTTATCACCAAAGCTTATATTTTGAATCTGCAACAAAATCATGGGCAACTTCCTTGAGATCTAACTAGCATGCGCGCGCGCGTGCACATTTACATGAATGCAAAGCACATGGATGGCAGACACATGTACACACGTACACAAACACATAATGAAAATTGGAGCAGATTGAAACACTTAAACAGGGATAATTGTCCAAATCAGATTAGTGCCTCATCATGTAGAGATTACTTATTGGATACAAAGAAAATTGGCTCAATCAACAGTACAAGATCTATTAAATTAGGATATAATTTTAACCAGTCATATAGCTTAGCAGCTTGCATGTGCAAAACACATGGAATGACCGGCAACTTCACTTAATGGAAGACTGTGGTAACTAGCGGGGCTTCAGTAACTACTAACAAAGTGCAGAAGCATTTAACAAAATGCAATGTTTAAATTG